ATCAGTACTTGCCCCCCCCCCCCCCACCACTCGGTGCGGGGGTAAATGTATAAACAATATTAGTAGAATATAGTAGATGTCTGAGGAAAGGGAGAGAATGTAAGTTGACATGCATGTTTCATAACTTTGTCTTAAACTATTGAAACGGCAAAAGACAGTTGTAGTAGTATTTACGGCTCAGGACTAATCGTCAAAATTAATCTTCTTTAGAAATTAATCCGGATAGCTGCAACTAGTGTAACCTGATAAAACAATACTGATGTGATTGGCGTAACGTTTTATTATTTGATTTTGTACATTACTTTTTTGTAAAAAATGGCTTTAAAAATAAATTAAATTTAAACTCGTTGCTCTTATCTTCGGTTGACTAAAAAAAAATTAATACGCTGGACCACGTGGCGGTAAATAGCTCGCCAAATCTACCAAAATGGACTGGGGTGGGTAAGGGCAGACACTGACACATCCATAGCCTCACCTTACCCCCACTAGACCGTGACGCAACAAGCCGACGATCGAAGCTTTTGATGTTGTGTAACACCCGTACGGTACCCGACTGGCTCGCAGTGGTTTCATGCCCCACCTACCTTTCCCGTCATTTTGTTGAGTTGATGTTACTTACCCTCGGACATAGATAAAGAAATTTTGCCAGACTTTTATCTCGGAAATGTATTCTAGCCAGCGCAGGAAGGGGGGGGGGGGAGGACGGGACTGGGGGGGGGGGGACAAACTTTCAAGTTTTCGATTTGCACCCCCCCCCTTTGCTATTTTTTGCCTTGGTCTCAACCCCCTAAATGGTGTCACCCGGTGCGGTCCGCACCTTCCGCTCCCCCTCGCTACGCCCCTGATTCTAGGGATTTTGTAAGATGATCGTGCAAAATATTTACAGTCGCAGCATTGGTAGTGTTGAATTTTTAAAAATATGAATTACTGAAAAGTAGAATTTCTATATATATATAATTCTCTTCATTGTGACCATGTGAGACAAAGACGTAAGCTCAACAGAATATATCATCACTAGCCCCACCCCCACCAGTCTGGTGAGCTGTTTACAGTCGTAGTGACAGCTATTAGGGGCAGATAATTTTGATTTTTTAAAAGATTTGAAACTAAGAGGAGATAATAAAATATTCTGCTTGCTCTTTTCATTGTCGCATGTAAACTGTCGTCACAGACGGCTGCTTTCGCGGAGTGGGGTGGGAGGGGAGGAGAGCGACAGAAGTGGAAATGGAGGTGAGGATAATCGTCCTTTACTAGCTACTGATAGTATTTTAAAGCTAAATATTTTCAATCGCAGCTTTGGTATTGTCGTATTCACAAGTTATGAATTACTGAATAATAGGAATTAAACTAAAGAGCAGCGTCAGCTCGTGTTTTATAATTATCCTATACCATACAGTTTTTATACGTATTTAATGTGACTTGCTGCCCTCATCTCATTGCAACAATAGGTACTGCCCACATTTTTCACGCACATTACATAACAGTTAAGTTAGGCCCTATGGTTTATTAAGATTTTTAAATACATATTTTTTTTAATAAGAAATTCCATGCAAATATACATTTGTCACTTTTTTTCCTGTGTCTTTTTTTCCTGTATCTTTGCATAGAGATAAAGTTGCATTATAGATGTCAGAGTTTGTACGTGATACTAAAGTTACGCCGATAAACTATACCGTTCAAATCCTACTTGACTGATAAATGAAAGTAGTGGTTCATACGTCCTTAAAATTAGAACCCCCACAGACCCCCTTCTTAATACTTTTATGTATTATGCTAATCAGTTTACAATTCAATTAAATGTAATGTAATCATTTTAGATGTATATGAGTAAATCGTATACATATAGTAATATTTATAACACACATAAAAGATTTTAGTATACAGTTGTAGTTTTGTTTTTGTAATTCTTTTTTGCTATATAATATTATACAGAATTTAATACAATTTTCGACCATCTCAGTTTCAAAAGTGATTTTTAATTGCTAACTTTAAATTAGCGTGAAATCGCATAAAGACAAAGTTAATTTGTCTTACTCTCCCCAACTAATCACAATAATAGTTCAAACCACCTTTACTGACCACATTTATCACGCTCATTACATAACAATGCCTAGGATCAAAAGAGACAGCCGACACGGTAGAAAGGCTCTGATTGACGCAAAACGTAAACAAAACACAATATGGTTGGACAAAGCCGACAGAGGAGAAGCCAACCAAGAAAAGGCCTACAGCAAAACACATGCAAACACAATGATTAGACCCAATTTATTATATAACGAGCCGACCCGCGAAGAGAAATATATATATAGATCTAGATAATCTTCCACCGCGTATTTAACAAACGTTGACGTTGCTATGTACATTATCTTACAGTATTTTAACTTGTTATTGTTATAAACCATAATGCTTTCTAAGTTTACAAATATGCTAACGAAAAAAAAATACCAATCACACTAATTGACACCCATAATTTTTTAAATTATGAACAATTAAATCAAAATATTACTTAGCAGCGGCTGTATGTATTTTCAAACTATTTGGGCTTTGAAACATTATCAGTAGGTGGTTAAGGACGATAACCCCCCCCCCCCCCCCACCCTCCAAAGGTGGACCGCCAGCATAGTTAGATTAAAATTAAACACAATAGCCTAGTCGCATTTAGAAAAACCATGCGGTTTGGTGATATGGGGGGGGGGGGTGGTATTATCCATTGGAATAAAAAAAAATTAAAACCGCTGTAAGCTGGTATAAAATGTTTCGCAACACCCCTCCCCCCCCCCCCCCCATGTATTTTGTTTTAACATACTGGCAGGGTAAGTAAGCGTGATTGATTTTAATTAAGTTAGGCCCTATGATTTATTAAGATTTTTAAATACATATGTTTTTAATAAATCGTATGGTATTTTTGAAAACCTATTGGCCTGCAGACGGAAATAAAATTATTTCGCGCACTAATTTGGCCAGTGTGTATCTAGTCATGCTTTTAGCCTTTGCGTAGATTTTTTATAATTAAATATGTGCTTAGCCAGGTTTTCTGGCCTATTTATTACATAATCTGTCCTTGAACTCAAGATTCAATAGGCAAGCGAGTCCGACGAATGTTAGGTAATGTCCAGACAGACGTCTAGCAAAATTCTCCGGGCTACGTTGATCCAACAATGTGCGAATAGGGGCGGGGGAAAGGGTGCTAAGCTGAAATGGTGGCGAACGATCTTGACGCGTGGGTAGTTTTTGCGAACATGGGGAAATAATTCTGCCATGTGTGTCGGTCAGAATTTAAGCTCCACCCATATAAAAAAAAACGAACTATTCATTGGTTATAAATATCACCAATCGTGGTTTCGGTTTAAAGATTGGCTATTTTATAGTGACCAATACTAAAAATATTTTATAGCACGTGACTATAAATGATGGGCCCTGTTTTCCGAATACCTTCCGTCATCATTTATATTATTGCTGTGATGATTTTTAGTGCTCTAAAGTAATATTATTCGGACTCGTCATCTTTTCCGTTCGTGTTCAAGACACATGGGGCATACTAAGTTACGCATCTTGGATATTTCTTTCAATGTTGTGTTCAGTGTTAGTGTTCTAAGTACATGAATTAAAATTATTCTCACTCATCATCATCTTTTCCGTTTGTGTATGTGTTTAAGACACATAGGACATACTAAATACTACATATGTTTTAATTACCTCGGGATACAAGAGGATAAAATGGCCCGTATTGATTTCTACACCCTTTTGGTAAGTAAAGCTTTAAATAGATTTTGAAAAAAATATAGCCGCATGTGTATAGAAGCGGTCTTTTGTGTAGATTATATTAAAATTCTACATTTTTAAATATCACCCAATGACGTTAACCCCAAAGTCACCCCACCTAAAGTATGCATATATTGCGATAAACGTCCGAACTATCATCGTTCTTCATCCCATCCCCTTTAACCACGCATGAATATGACATAACTTTTTATCCCTATGTAAAACAAATAACCTCCAGATGTATAAATAGGCATTTCCATGTGCTCAAACAAATTGTATGGAAACAAATATCAGTGGTACCTATATTATCAAACATACTATTTTAGATACTACAATATCGATCTATATTTTAAGCGTGAAACTTCAATTTGTGTGGGTTCCTTTAAACTTTTTACGTTTTATATATACGGAAATAATTTAATACAGTTAAATACGCACGCCTTCCAGACTTTCCCACACCCCCACGCATGCTTATCGCATTTATCTAACCTTCATGTAATAGACATATCGAAATAATTTAATACAAAAAGATTATAATAACTACACACAACTACGTGACTTTTCCCTCACCCCCCCCCCCCCCGCATACTTATCGCAATATGTGCACAACTCACCCCTACCCACACCACATACAATTTAAGTACACACATTCTTTAGTCAACTTTGTAGGCCCTATGCAATGTTTACAACTTTTTTACAATTTTTTTACTTTATGTTTTAGACTTACGGAAATTTAATACAGTTAATTTTATAATAAAAGCACACAACTACGTGGCTTTTCGCACCCACTTGCATACTTATCGCATTACGTGCACAAATCACCCTTATCCACACCATCATTATTTTAAGTACAACGTTCTTTAATCAAAACTGAGCGTAATGTTTACAATTTTTTTTTTTTTTTTTTTTACATTTTTCTAATGTCGCAAAGCTATAAAAAGCTATATAATATCAGGATCGCGTAAGTTAGGAAGGTTTTCTATAATACATATATGTAACGAAGTATAAAAGTGCCAAATATCTATATCAGACAAGGTTGCAAAGTATTTCATCTTATAGCTTGTATACTTCCCATTGATTTTTCCTTTAGAGAACTTATCTGCCTCACTTCGCAAAGTTACAACGTCGAACTCCCTAACTTACTAATGTCTGTATATATATATATATATATATATATATATATATATATATATATATATATGATTTAACATTTTGCGTTGAACTAATTAAAACAAGGT